AAAATGACCAACTCTGAAGTGTCACTTTTTTTTTTTTTTGTTTTTTTTTTTTTTTTTTTTAAAGGAAACTTGTATCCCACATGTTTGGTCTGTGTATTGTAAAAGAAGCCATGTTTATAATTCTAATTGGTTTGTGACCAATATGCCTGTTTGTATCAGATCTGTATATCAGTGGTACGCATAATTTTTTAATATATTTTTTATTTTTCCTTTTTTTTTTTTTTCTTCTAAATGGGAGATTGTATGCATAGTTGGGTCCTGAGAGACGCAGCGGTGCCGTTGAATGGTTGCTGTTTTTTGGCAAAATTTCTGGAGTATTGCAACAGCTCGGTGTTCATAATTACAACAATTATGACGATGACACCAATAAAAGATATTTATTTCACATCGGGGCTTTGCTGGAGTTTTTTGTTAGTTGGCACTGCGCAAAACTTTCGAGTCATCCTTAATTCCTTTATATGTTAGGAAAACGTAAAATAGGAAAAGTTACTTACTGAAATGTGGCAACATACATGTAAATACAGCATCGAAAGTACAATTCTAGCGAGCTTGAAAGTCAACATTTGGTGTGACCGCTTTTATTCTTCAGCAAGTCTGAACTCTCTTAGGCAGCTTTCTTGTCATTTCTTCAAGTCGTCTTCAGGAATAGTTCTCCAGGCTTCTTGAAGGACAGTCAAAGCTCTTCTTTGGATGTTTCTGCCTTTTGTTCTGTTCTTTGTCAACATGATCCCACACTGCTTCAATAATGTTGAGGTCCGGGCTGTTGGGAGGCCGATCCATGACTGATAGTGCTCCACTGTGTTTTTTCTATCCAGGTATGATTTTATTGCTTTGGCAGTGTGTTTGGATTTGTTTCTTCCAACTAAGGACACACTGCACATCATGAGTTTTCAAGTAGTATTGTTTTAGAATCACTTTAATGGTGTAAGACTGATTAAAAAATAGATAATATTTAGTATGTTGGTTTATGTCTGTGAAGGTTCTCAGTCCTCCAGGTCATTGTAGTCTAAGGAGCTTGGGGGGGGGAACAGCGTCTGGACTTCTTTAAGTTGCTTGAAGACGTTTCACCTCTCATCTGAGAAGCTTCTTCAGTTCTAAGGTCAAATGGCAGAGAGTCCCAGATATAAACCTAGTGGGAGTTTCCCCCCAAAGAGGGACAATGGACCACCTAATAATCCCCGACCTAATCACATGAGCCAAGGTGTGAAAACAGATGTAGGTCACAATCAGCCAAGGTTTCGGGGGAGCTTATTGTGAAACCTGGCCCCACCTTATGTGATTTCCTGAGGTCAGATGGCCCAGGATGTGAGTGGGCGTTAAGGCGTCTGGGAAGGGATCTCAAAACTGGATTATAGATGGCAGACAGTTGGTGTCGTAAACCACTGCCTCTGTTCAAAGATGGTCGCTCACAGTGGACATAGATGCTTCTTTCACTCCTCTTTCAAACCATCTGTCCTCTCTGTCCAAAATGTGAACATTGGCATCCTCAAAAGAATGACCTTTGTCCTTTTAACGCAGATGGACCGTTGAGTCTTGTCCCATCGAGGTGGCTCTTCTGTGTTGTGCCATGCGTTTATGAAGTGGCTGTTTGGTCTCTCCAATGTAGAGGTCTGAGCATTCCTCGCTACACTGTACAGTATATACTACGTTGCTAAATTTGTGTTTAGGAGTTTTTGTCTTTGGGATACTCCACTCCACCATTTGACCTTAGAATTGAAGAAGCTTCTCGGATGAGAGGTGAAACGTCTTGAAGTAATTTAAAGAAGTCCAGACGCTTTTCTTTCCAAGCTCTTTAGACCAGTATGTTGGTTTGTTTTCTGGCAATGGCATGTGTTGATGTGCAACCTCTGTAGGGCCCACTAGATGTCAATGTTACACCACAGGTACAGCTTTACTTTTGCGCCTTTTATGTGCAAGTATTACAGTGATGATACGTAATTACAAGTTCATCATTTTCTTGGGTATGTGTTATTTCTTTAATGCCAGAGGCTCTGATAAGTTGTGTTGATGAAAAACGTTGTGACATGTGAACCCCACAGGCGTCACAGCCATGGTTCATGAAACCTGATCTGCATTGCCTGAAGGGGTGGATCTGTACAATGAAAGGTTTGTAATCAAACTACGCTCCAAGCATATAAATATGCACATGCTCTGTTGCACGCACACAATCGACTCTTTCACACAGCGCTTTCACTATGGGCTTCCGGGCTGCTGCAACCTGGTACCGCTGCCTCCCAGCGCTCTGCTCCGGGACAGCGCTTCGGGTCGCTCCGGTGCTCAGACCCGCACCCTTCGCTTCCATCCCGGGCAGAAGAAACCTGAACGTGCAGACAGCAACTGAGGCGGTTAGGCTGAAGAGCATTGATGACTTACCGGGGCCCAGCCGGTCCACCAGTATGTACTGGTTGTTGGTCAAAGGATACGCGGAAAAGATGCACTTACTGCAGGTACTGGAAGAGAATTTAGTGGCTTAAAACAACAACAGCAACTTTTTAACTGTTTGTACATTTGCGCTAAAGAGTAGAACAAGTATGAGATGACCTTCAGCCGACAACAAAAACTGTTTCCACGGCTGCTGCTAGTATTTCGAGAAAACGCATTCAGGAATGTTACTTTCTTTCAAACTTTTGAACAAACATTTTGGCTTTTTTGTTCACTTTTATTTCTATTGGCTCGATTTTGTATGAAGTCCAGCCAGAATGAAAAGGATTCGCAAACAGTTGCCGCCGGGGTGATCGAGCCATGCAAACTAAATGTGGGACAGAGAGAATGACTTTTAAGTGGTTTCATTTAAACCTTTTAATTAGTTTAGATGTATGACCTAAAATTAAACAGGTTTGGTATTAAGTTTTTAGCTATAGAATAGTAATTATACAGTATAATCTGAAAACAGCTTCCCAAACTCCTAAAAAAGCTTTTCAAAGTGTTAATCATATTAATTATTATTTAGATCAATCTATTTAAAAGTAGTGTGAATAAAAACCTAAATCTAAAAAGTAATGAAATTAGTGATTGTAATTAAACAGATATTCATGTCCTCATTGTCTTTGTTATTGTAAAATAGACTTTTAAATAATTCAATTTTGTAGGGCTTACAGAAGCGTCAGTATGGGCCCATCTGGCGCTCCAAGTTTGGCCCTTTTGACATCGTCAATGTGGCGACTCCTGACCTCATTGGTCAAGTGATCCAGCAGGAAGGCCGCTACCCAGTCCGAGTTGAGATGCCCCACTGGAAGGAGTACAGGGAGCTGAGGGGCCAGGCCTACGGACTCCACGTAGAGTGAGTGTAGATGATGTCAAAAAAACTTTTATTCATGTGTCCGAAATTCCTTACAAACAGCCAGGGACCCAGAAAGGAACCCAGAGGAGCTCCTCTGACTTATAATAATCAAATGATAATTTCAAATATACATTTTTCTCTGACAACATAGTATTTGTATATAGTATTTCATTCTATTATATATAGTGTCTTATTATTATTACCTTATCCTGTTCCAGTTTTGCTGCTGTAATTTTGCACTGTCCACTTTCTGCTGTCCCATGTGTGGGACTAATAAAGGCTTATCTTATCTTATAAGCTATAAGTAATTCTTAAATTTTTGGAAAAGAAAATTGGTAAAGTTAAGCCCATGTAACAACCTGGTGGATTGTGGAGGCATCCATTGGGTGCTTGTGAAGAATCTCTTTAAGCTAAAAAAAAATCTGATTTCATAAAAGAATACTGGCGTTCCTCAGGGGTCCTTCATAGTACAGGTATGTATATAAGAACATTTAGCAAGAGAAAATGTACAAATATCTTCTGCGGAGTAGTAAAGGAGTGCTGAAACTGAAACAGAAACTGGCCAAAAGTTTTTTTTAACAGCCATAATTCTCTAATAAACTTCATCCATCGACTTTTTTTCTGTGTCGTGGGGATAGCATCCTGTTCTTCTTCTGGTTGTTGTTATTATCCTTTCTCGTCTCTGCTGATTGATACTGACTATAACATAGAGTTTATAAAGCCAAAAATTATAAATTGTCCTTTGATTTTGGCAAAACCTGCTACTGGAGTTCCTCAGAGTTTTGTTACTGGTCCTTTTAAGTTTTTTCCCTTTTAATTTTACAGAACAGGACCAGAGTGGTATCGCATCCGCAGTGCCCTGAACCCCAAGATGCTGAAGCTACAGGAGGTATCGGTTTATGCCTCCACCATCCAGCAGGTGACTGGAGATCTGCTGCAACGCATTGAGCTCTTACGAGCTCGCAGTCAGGACCAAGCCACAGTTTTGGACGTGGCAGCTGAGCTCTACAAGTTTGGCTTTGAAGGTGAGAGGGACAGCAACTAATCCCAAAGGGGGTGTAGGTTAGGGTTTGCAACTCTTTTATTTATGTATTTATTAATATTTTATTTACAGGTATATCCTCCATCCTGTTTGAGACCAGACTGGGGTGCCTGCAGGAGGAGATTCCCCATGAGACTCTTCGCTTCATCAAGGCTCTTAACGACATGATGACGTTTGCTGACATGGTGCTTCTCTTCCCACGATGGACCCGCAACATCCTCCCCTTCTGGAAACGCTTTGTTCAGGCCTGGGATGACCTCTATGAAGTAGGTATGTAACAGAAAAAAACACAAAAGGGAAGATTTCTGCTGTTTTGGGTTTGCTTTAAGTTCATTTGTATCTTTTATGTGTTTGCATGGCAGCTCAGATGCTCATCGACAGAAGAATGGCTGAAGTTGAAGCTCAGGTGAGCAGGGGTGAGCCTATAGAGGCCATGTACCTGACCTACCTGCTGTCTTCTGGCAAACTGACCAAAGCGGAAGTCTACATAAG